AAGACGGAGTATGGACTTTGAGACGCCCACTTGGCATGGCAACAATGCATTTGCTGTGTTTTTCTCTGGGGTGTGAACACAACAGTGGGTAAAAATTTTAAAAGTTGGTTTTTTTTTTTTTTTTTTTTGGGGGGGGGGTAATGTTCAATATGACCGGGCCCTTATAGAGGGTTAACAATAGCTAGAGTAGCGGAGCATGGAAAATCCATCTCCGCTCATTCACCGGAAGAGGCAGAGATAAAAGAGTGGGCTGGTAATTGGGTTTGTGCACTCTATCGCCTCACCTCCAAGTAATTGTCAAACAGTGCAGCTTTTGAGGATTGATTTTCTTAAAATTAGACGAGCAAAGGGTAGCTTTTACCACTCACTGTGTTGCACGAGCACAGAAAGCAGAAGAAAACTTGCAGTCGCTGCCTTTTCCAAATTAAAGCCCTTACTTATTTTCCCTCTTGGTCCCAACAGAGTGTTTTCAAAAAGTAATTTACTATAAAACATGTCAACAGCATCCCAAAATGAACCATTGGACCTTGTAAAATTACCTTTGATCTATTTTTAACGGGTTATTATTTAACATACGTGGTGCATAATGAAGTAAAAAGGAAAACTATGTACGGACTTCAAAGCTATTTTGCAAATAAAATTAATAAGTGTAGCATGGATTTGCAATCAGAACTCAATGAAATCCACTGCAGCTAATTAGCCTCATGTGGAAGTAGACGTACCATTGGAAACGCTTGCTGGCAAGTTACCAGAGTGAATGTTTAAAGAAAACATCACCTGATATGTGTCGTCTTGTTTACAATGAAATTAAAATGAAAGCTAATAAAATACATAATATAAGACAAAATGTGAACATTTCACATCAATTTGTATGGAAGCCCATTTCTGCCACTCTGTTAAAAAAATAAAAAAATAATTATCTCATTATAATGAGATACTATCTCATTATAATGAGATAGTATCTCATTATAATGAGATAGTATCTCATTATTATGAGATACTATTATATATAATGAGATAATTATTTTTTTATTTTTTTAACAACAGCAGA